TATACCCATCTTTATGTAGTTCTTTCATAGATGTGTCAGATCTATATGTAATCTCTCATAGATATATCCCATGTATATGCAATTACCTCATAGATATGCCCCCCTTATATTTAGTTCTCTCCTAGATATACCCCATGTATATGTAGCTCACACCTACTCTATCTATAGGTAGTTCTCTCTTAGATATACCTTATTTATATGTAACTATCTCTTAGATATATTCTATCTATATGTAGTTCTCTTCTAGACATAACTCACCTATTTGTAGTTCTCTCCTAGACATACCCCCATTTATTTGTAGTTCTCTTTCAGATGTACCGTCTATATGTAATTTTTCTTCTTGATATACCCCATCTATATGTATTTCCCTTTTTTATATATACCTTATCTATATATCATTTGAGGTGCAGCATACATTTATCTTCTCTAAATAATAGTTTTGATAATCTATTTAGGTTGAGGGCGCCATGCCAGACCCTGTTAGATTTGCAAAATATAATGAGACATGGTCCACGTGGCTGATGGAGGGTGGTGGGGAGAGGGGGTGGGAGGTGTATACACAAATAAGAAGAATAATAGGAGTTTCTCTAGCTTTGGGTCAAGCCCGTGGAGTAGTCCGAAAGTCCTGCAGGGACTTACGGAAATCTCCACTTCATACAGTGGTTAATGATCTTTCAGTATTTTTCTCCAGGATGGAAATCACAAACGAATTACAAAAAGGCTCGGCTAACTGACGTCTTTCCGGGAAGGGCATTTGGACTTGGGAACTGCACAGCCCCAACCTGGCCAGGATGCGCGTCAGTCCTCTGCTGGCACCAAAGGCTTCTTTGGCAGGAGTAGGAGATGGCAACGGAAGTCTCCTGCCCTCCAGTCTGAGGATCCCTGATCATATCCAAGGCCTGTCCCCGAAAGGTTGGAAGGAAATGCCCGAGTGGCGTGCGCAGGCTTGGCCACGTCATCAGAGGAAGGGAGCGTGGACAGCAAAAGCAACTCAGGCCTGCGGCCCAGAGCCTGGCTCACTCCGGCTGGGGATAGGGGGCGGGGCCCGAGGCGGGGCGGGACCGGAGGGGCGGGGCCTAAGGGGTGTCTGCTCCCACAGCTCTGCCTCTCCTCCTCAACTGTGCACCTACGCACTGCTGCTAACGTGGGTTGAGTCTCCGCAGACACTTTGGAGGGCAGAAGCTGCCTGGATCAAAGGGAGGGGCAAGGCCGGGCACCTCCTGGCTCTTTTCTCACCCTCACCCTCAATCTTCCCCAGTGTTCACGCCACTTGGAAACTGGAGGGCGTTTCCTCAATAGCCATTAAAGCTTCTTTTGCTCTGAGGACAGGCGCCGTCACAACCTTCTGCCCTCTAACACTTACTTTTCCTCAGTCTCCAAGATTGAACTACTCCCTAGTGCCTTTGTGCAAATTAGTCCCTGCGCCTGGAACACCATGCCCTCCCTATTTGCAACGTATTTCCCTGGCTTAGATATCTACTCGAGAGAACTTTCTCTGACCACTCCCACCCTGCTATGGGCTCCTGCGCTGGCCCCACCTCAGTCCTCATCATTTTACAACGCAATGTCCTGATTGCCAGTCTGTTTTTCCCCTCCCCCTCATCCCTCAAGACCGTGGGGTCACTGGAACATCTCCAATGTGTGACCCAGGCATGGTACTCAGTAAGATCATTAACACCCGGCCTGGCACACCTCACCTCTGCCTGGATGGGAGATTCCCGCAGTCACTTTGTCTCTCAGAGCAGCAGTCTCAAAGTAGAACAAACAGCAGAATCACATGAAGGTGATGGTAGGGAGTGGAGGGACTTACTAAAGTGCAGATTACTGAGCCCCACCCCCAGAGTTTCTGATTCATAAGTCTGGGGTTGGGACCTGAGAATCTGCATTTCTGACAAGCTCCCAGGTGCTGCTGCTGCTAGTAGTCCAGGAACCACACTTTAAGAATCACTGTCTCAGAGCATCAGTTTCTTCACTGGTAAAATGAGATACCTACTGTCCCCACCATTCTAGGTTTGATGAGACTCCAGTGAAAAATGAGGAACTCATGCACCCAGTAGGTGCTCAATAAGTGTTAGTAGTTGCTTCTGGGAGTGGTCAGGAAACATTCCAGGCAGGGAAAACATGAACAGGAGCAGAGGTGGGAAAGGGCCCAAGCAGGTCAGCTGAGCAGGCAGAAAAGCCAAGGCTCAGCAGAGCAGTCAGGAAGTCCAAGTTGCACTGTAGAAGCAACTGGGAGCTGCACACAGTTCTGAAGCTGGGCAGTGACAGGTGGAAGCAGACTGTGGCAACAGTGGACAGGAAGTCACTGCCAGCAGCAAGTCCCACATGCTGGAGACTTGTATGTTTGGCCAGACATGCTTATTTGCCAGCTTTAGCGAATAAAATAAAAGATGCCCAGTTAAATTTGAATCTCAGATAAACAATGAATAATTTTTGGGTATAATTATGTCCCAAATATTTCATGAGATATACTAAAAAACATTTGTTGTGCATCTGAAATTCAAGTTTAACTGAGTGTCCTTTATTTTTATTTGCGGAATCTGACAATCCTAGCCAGATACCATTTGCCTGCCCCTCAATCTTTAACTTTGCATGCAAGGGGCAGCCAGCCCCAGGGCCGACTGGCTCCCTTCCCACCTTCAACCAGGCCACCAGGAGCGGTTGAAGAGCTGTTCCTGGAAGCCAGTCTTCCTGTTCATGACTAGTGATCACAGCTGCAGGCCTAGGTGAGAGGGCCCTCCCCCTTCATGGCATATTCCAACCCAGCAAGAAAGTAGCAGGAATTCAGTAACTAATCACTGGATCTGTGAATTAACAAGGCTAATTAACATAGGTTACCAAATTCCCTAAGGAAGGAAGTGCCACCTGCACTCTTGGATTAACCAGGAAACAAGCAGCTGCCAGTGGTACAGGTTCACCCAATGAGTGTACCCAGGGAGAGGAAAAGATGGTCTTTCCCCTTAACTCTAGAAATGGGCAAACACAGGCATGCATGTTGCTCCACACCCTCACAGGATGCAGTGGAGATGATGTTGTAAATCGCAAGCTAGAGCAGGATGGTCCCTGACTTGTTCAGCTCACCTGGGCATCAGGACAAGTCATGCTACCAGAGGCTGCCCCTCCCTATAACCACCAAATCCTTGATGATTCATAGTTCCAGAAGCAAGGCTGTCAGAAATCTAATTCTGCAACAACCTTTACATCAACATTTTTTCCTACTCTAACAAGAAAAAACAAAAACAATTTGTGCTCCATCTGAAAAAAAAAAAGTGTGATAAGCATTACTGAATACCTAATGTGTGCCCTGTGCTGTGCTCAGCACTTTATTAGCTCAGTCGTTCTTGGCCTTGGCTGTACATTACAACCACCTGGAGAGGTTTTATTTTCTTTCTTTTAAAAAATTTTTCCCAACACCTCCCCCACTCTAGAAAGGCTTTTAAACTCCCAGTACCCTGAGCATCAGAATTTGTTGAGGGTACAATGATTCCAACGTACAAAGGTTAAGAACCACTGACTTAGTTCATCCTGCAAATTCTCACATAAAATCCTGCAAGGTAGCTTTTATCACAATTTTGTGATGAAATTGAGGCTCAAAAAGGTAAATTGACTTTGGCATCTGTGGCCCCAAGCTGGATCTCTCCTTCCTTCTCAGGATCTCTTGAGGGATTTCCTGGTGTTATATATAATGTTAGAGTAGATATAATGTGGCCATGGACATGTTTGTGGCATGATGCTGCCCTCCAGCTAACTTGAGATAGCTCTGCTCCCAGCAAGGCTCTTTTGAGATAGCAGCTGGACACTTCCTGGGCTCAGGACTAATACTAAATAATTTTTGCTAAAATGAGGATAATTGAGGCTAGTCGCTTCCAAACAGGTTCTGCCACCTTGAGTCACAGAATAATGGTGGCTACCTCTCATTCTCCGTGACCCCGTACTTTCTAAGCCTGTCTCCTCACCAGTGCTTCCCCATCCAGCCTTTCCTCGATGCCTTTCCACTTTAGAACAAACTCCCTCATCTGCATCCCTCTCAGCACATCTTCTTGGCGAGAGCCATACCTCCTCACAGGTTGTCGGAGCGGTCTTTGGTCCAGGAAAGCCGCGAATCATAGATTCAATAGGGAAGTCCGTTCTCTGGCCCGGGCCTCGCCCATGACACGCGAGCCTTTGGACTTCCCGTGTGTCTCTGCGCACCTGGGCTCACCTGTCCCCCGCCCGCGGCGCCAGCAGGCCGAGAGCGAGATTGGCTGGGCAAGAAGGCTGGTCGCCGCCTGCCCTCTACTGGCCAGTGACGATACTGAGCCTGCTGCCGTTGGACCAGTGCTTTGGAAGGATGGAATAAAGGAGCGGGCATTTCCTGAGCTCCTGCGGTGCGTCAGACACTACCGATGAGCTCTGTGGTGTAAGGATGAACACGACTGGCTCTCATAGAGCTCTAAATTGAAAGGAGGAGACAGGCATTAATTAAATAGTAATGCAATCGAATATGAAATGGCAACTGTTGCTTTTGCGAGTATATGACAGGAAGGCCCTACCGGTCTAGGGGGTAGGGCACTGGCTCCCCTAAGAGGAGGGAAAGCTGCTCCCCAAGAGGGCACGTTTGAGCACCGGGAGCCTCACAAAGTCATATCATGTAATCGCGAACATCCTGCAGGGTGGCTCTCCCCCTTGTCAAAGCAGAAAATGGGCTCAGATTGGGGACAGGATTTACCCAAAGTCAAACAGCGAACTGGAAACAAACCTGGGAGAACCTAAATCGGCACGATTCCAAAATCTCCGTTTGTTCGCCCCTCGGAGGTGGGGCAGGTGGCCAGCCACAGGGACATTCCATCTAGAGACTCCAGAGAGTGGGGCGGGGCCTGAGTGGGGCGGAGTCTGAAGTCGGGCCCCGCCCCAGCCTCGACAGGCGAAAGGGCGCCTTGTGCGTGGGGACGGGGCGGGGTCCTTGCGGGGGGGCGGAGTCCGAGCAGATGGAGGCCTGTGGAGGCAACACAAGAATCTTGGAAGGGGTGGAGCCGGGAAACTCATCCGGTCTTAGAGAAGCCGGAAGTGCCAGGTGAGCTCGGGCCGAGGACCTTTACCTGTTGAGCCTGTGCACCCAGGTAGAGACGGCGGGCGAAGTCCAGGAGGTCCAGTGGGCAACTCCCCAGGTAGGGCCTAACCCGGACCGAGGAAGAGACGTTCCTCTCCCCTCCTACCCTGACCATCTGTCCTGACATCCGATATTCCTTCTTTTATAACCCCGGCTGCGTCCACCTCTAGACATAAAATGGGAACGCGGGTGTGGAGGGACCGGCCTCATTTCGTCCCTCTCTCTGGCCCAGCACCTGCAGGTGCCCTGGACACCTAGAACGTGGAAACTGGGGGGGGAAATGCCAAAGCCTCCCAGGGGAGTCTGGCTCAGCTTTACCCCAGGCTGGCTGTGTGACCTTGGGGAGGACACCAACCCTCTCTGGTACCGAGTGTCCTCAAGTGCAAAACAGTTTGTGTCCCTTGCCCTGCCTGCCCGGAGACTGGCGGGTCAGACGCTGTAGCTGCTGGGGGGCTGGGGTGGTGCTTTTTCTCTACCAGGGCAATAGGAGCGCTTACTCTCCTCCCTCTGGTACTAGATGGAGAACCACACCCATGCTCCACCCAAATCTGAGATCCCCCGAGGGCTGAGGGCTCAGACCCATGGCAGCTTGTCCTGGCTTCCGTATGGTAGTGCGGTGGGCTCACCTGGAAGGCCTGTGGATGTCCCCAAGGTGAAGTCTGAGGCTTGGGCAAGGTACCCTGTGAGACCTGTCTACAGCCTACGTGCTTATTTTACAAGTAGTGGAGCCAGCATTGTGCAGGGCCTTGAATGTCAAGTTAAGATGTCTAAACGCTCAAATGTGGGATGGGGCAGTGTATCAGAGTCTGTGCCTACCGGACCAGCCTGCGTGAGTGGGGCTCTCATGATGCTGAAAAAAGTGCTGCTGATGGCTGAGTGTGGTGGCTCCTGCCTGTAATCCCAGCATTTTGGGAGGTGGAGGCGAGAGGACTATCTGAGCCCAGGAATTCGAGAGAAGCCTGGGCAACATGATGAGACCTCATCTCTACCATAAATCAAAAAAATTAACCAGGCATGGTGGTGCATACCTCTAGTCCCAGGTACTTGGAAGGCTGAGGCAGAAGGATCACCTGAGCCCGGAAGGCTGAGGCTACAGTAGCTGTGAACATTCCACTGCACTCTAGCCTGGGTGACAGAGTGAGGCTCTTACTCAAAACAAAAACAAAACAAAGTGCTGTGGCTGATAGGTGTCACATGTGGACTTTTATTGCATTCCAGAACTTTACACACATTTTCTCATTAGTTACTCACACACACTTGATGTTTTCCTCATTCCAGAGGCTGAAACTGAGGCTCAGAGAGAGGAAGCAACTCGCCCAAGGCCACAGCTAATAAGTGGCAGAGTGGGATCACATCCCAGAAAGTCTGGTGCCCTTTCCCATAATGTCCTGGGGCCACCCATGATCTGGGCATCTGTTAATAAAGTCTTGACCTAGGACAACCAGAGGAAGGAGGGGCCTGATGAGTGGGAAATTGGGCGAGAAGATTCAGAGGGCTTGGGAGGGAGGGGTGTGGATGAGTCCTGTGAGGTATTGGGCTCCCTGCAGGGGAAGATGAAGTCCTTGATTTTATCTGTGTTAGTTTGGGAGCCAAGCAAAGCCCTCCTCTGTCTGGAGTGTCTGGAGCGAGCAGGGAGGCAGAACTGGGTCGTGGGAAAAGTAGGTGCCCTCATGGATGGGTGCAGACAGGGCAGGGCTGGACTCACAATGGCCCCCAAAATGCTAAGCAGGCCAAGGATGGATGGAACAGGGAGAGGAAAGAATTCTGGACCCCTACAGCATTAGAGTGGAGATGAGTCTGAAAAATTGAGACCTTGTTTTATAGAAAGGGAAACTGAGGCCACCCAGTTACTTGCCTGAGAATACTCCAGGGGTGGATCTGAGTAGGACCCTGTATGCCATCTCTGCCATTTAGCTCTTTCTACTAGATCTGTGGTTCTCAAGTGGGGGCAGTTTTGTCTCCCAGGAGACATTTAACAACATCTGGAGACAATTGACTGCCACAACCTGGGGTGAAGGGAATGAGGAGCTACTGGTATCTAGTAGGTAGAGAGAAGCCAAAAATGCTACAAAGCATTCTATGATGCACAACCTCCCACAACAAAGAATTATTTGGCCCCAAAGGACAAAAATGCGGAAGTTGAGACACTGCACTAGAGCAGGACAGATAACTCAGGCTAGGGCCTCCAGCTGGCAGACCTTTGCCCCACACCTGCTCTGCCCCTCCTCTGCTCCCTCCTTTATTCCTGGAAGCTTCTGGAGTCCTCTCTGCCCTTCCTGCTCACAATGGTCTAGAGCCCCGCCCACTAAGTATCTGTTGTTCATCTATCTCCCCAGACCAATATCCAGAGTTTGCCGTTAGGTAGGGAGGAACCAAAGTGGAAATGTTCACCCAGAACATAGTAGGTGCCTCACAGATAAACGATGTATTGGATCTGAGTGACATGTCAGGGGTCCAAAGCATTTCATCTCACCTTTCACTTTAGCAATTCTAATATCACCTTATGTTCATGAAGTCCTCACACCGAAAGAATCCATTGCTTTGTCCCATGTCCCAGGATGAGCAGGATATGGACATGATCTGGAAAATGTCAGATAATGTGGGGGGGGAAGCGTGTCTTGATATTCAGGCTCTTCCAAGAGTGGGCTGTAGACTGGGGACATGAAGGCATCTCCTCTCAAACACTAAAGGGTGTGGGAATCACCTGGGGATCTGCTAAAATACAGATACTGATTCAGGAGGACTGAGTTGGGCCTGAGTTTCCATGTTTCAAACAAGCTCCCAGGTGATGTTGATGCTGCTGTCCCCTGGACCACGTTTTGAGGGTGGGGCATTACAGGGCCATACAGGTGTGGCTGTGGGCCAGGCTGCCTTCTCTCTGCAGAAAACTGTGGGGGGTTTGGGACTCTGGAGTCGGAAGACCTCAGTACGAGTCATCACTTCCTCTCCCCCCTCTCTACACCCCTCCTAGAACCTATCAGCTTAATAGAGCTTGAATAACTTATTATAACCTATCCACTTAGCCTAGGATAGGTCATTTAGCTTCCTTGAGGGGTGGTCTTGCCTGGCAGACTGTCCTCCAAGGGTTCTGATACAGGGTCTGAGAGAGGCAGGCACCCTGTAGAGGTGGGGCAGCAAGCCACTGACCTGGCCAGCAGGACAGGAGTGATGAACTGAAGCTAGCAGGGCAGGCACCATGCCAGGTTGGAGGCAGCTCCCATCACAGTCCTGGTTTTTCTTCGAGGCTGCCACAGCCTTCTGCTTCTGGCTTATCCAGCTCTGTCTGGTGTGGGAGAGCTGGAGGGACCAGTCTGGTTGAAGGAAGGAGCAGCTTTGATGGGTCAGGGGCCAGCCCAAGGCCTGATCTGAGGGCCTAGCCAGTAGAGCTCTGGTCTGAGGAGTGGGGTTGGGGCTGAAACTGGGGGCTGAAAACTATGGTCTGAAGACCCTGGGATCAGTGACAGGCTTTCCACCAGGGAAACCGGGAAGGAATTTGGGGTTTGGGGCTATAAGCCCCCAGCTGTAAGGCATAAGCTATAAGATGCCCCTGATTGGGCATCTCACCCCAGGAATAGAGCTGAGCAGAGCCTTGAGTACCTGGGGTACTCCCACTCCTGCTCATCTATGAATCAGCCACAATGGCCCAGCAATGCCCCTTCCAACTCCTAGGACCAGGAGGCAGCAAGACAGCTGAGTTGATTTCTCAGAAGGAAAAAAGAGAACCCCTCAACCCCCTTCCTAGGGAAAGATGCTTACCCTTCAAAGCTGTTGCTCATTACCCAGCAGGACCTTGGACCTGATATCTAATGAGGCTGCCATCATTGCCTCCTCCCTCCTGTCTCCACAGTTGGGCCATCTCAGTGGAACCACAGAAACCTGAGTTCGAATCTCAGGTCCACTCCTTAATAGTTGTGAGGCCCTTGGAATACTACACAGCCATAAAAAAGAACAAAATCATGAATTTTGCAGCAACCTGGATGGAACTAGAGTCTATAATACTGAGTGACCTCTCACAGAAACAAAGATCAGAATATCACATGTTCCCACTCATATAATGAACCTTGAACATCCAATATAATACTATAAGAAAATGACTGACGGTACTGGGAAACTATGGGGGGGGGGATGGGATTAACAGTAGCAAATATCTGTCTAGGGCTGGGAAAACACCTCTTATCAACAGGGTGCCTGAATGAAACGTAATTGTACACCTAACCCTTAACTGTACCCCACAAAACCATAATAAAAAATACTAAAAAAAAAAAAGAAGTATAAGGCTGAAATAACCAAAAAAAAAAAAAAAAAAAAATAGTTGTGAGGCCCTGGGTAAGTCACTCCACCTCTCCAAGCCTCAGCGGGCTGTCTGTAAACAAGAATAATAACACCCGCTCAGCCAGCCTCACAGGGTTGTTGTGAAGATGAAATGAGCCGCGCCCACTGAGCACTGTGGTCATTATCATTAGTCATGGCATTTAGGCATGGCATATTGTCTTACCCTGCACCCTCATTTTACAGATGTGGAGATCTGCACTTGGAGAAGGAAAACGGCAGTCCCAGGGTCCCACAGGTCAGTGAGCAAGTGGGGGCGAGACCCCCATCTGCCAGAGCGCCACCCATCCCACAACTGCTGCACTGTGCAAAGGGCCCCAGCTGGTGACACAAAGGTAAACCTGGGGATGGGGAGGTCAGCCTGCAGGGGCCGAGGGAGCTTCCCGCAGAGGGGCCAGAGCAGGCCTCAGTCCCAGCCCTGGCTCTCTTTGCCAGCAGCAGCCATGAACTACGTGGGGCAGCTGGCAGAGACGGTGTTTGGGACGGTGAAGGAGCTGTACCGGGGCCTGAACCCAGCCACGCTGAGCGGTGGCATCGACGTGCTTGTGGTGAAGCAGATGGATGGCTCCTTTCAGTGCTCGCCCTTCCACGTGCGTTTCGGCAAGCTGGGCGTCCTGCGCTCACGGGAGAAGGTGGTGAGTGCACTGGCCACCCAGGTGGCTACTACAAGGTGGGCTTAAAAGCCGGGGCAGTTGCTGCAGTCCTGGGAGAGGCCCAGGGCCTCCCGTAGGTGGGAGTCTGTCCTCGGGACAGGCCTCCCTACTTTAGCATTTTCTCCAAAGATTTTTGAGTTAGTTTAGGGGTTTTGTTCTGAGAGGGTTCTCAGGCTCCCATGGAGGCAGTGCCGTGGGCAGACCCTGGTGCTGGGGTCATCAGGCCTGGCCCCAGCTGACCAGGACCTTACCCGTGTGTTCTTGGTGAGTTACATCATGTCCCCAAACCCAGTTCCTTCACCTGTGCAAATGGATATTATCTTCTCTGTCTAGTAATCGTGGTAGGAAAAGTAAGCAGGAACTAATGATGCTGTCCCAGAGCCAGACATGTGGGTGACACTGGAAGTTTCATTTCTCTCTCTTAGTAAATTCACTCTGTTTTCACTGGGCTCTGGCAACCATGACAGAGATTTTTGCTGGCACCGAGGTCTGGTGTGTGAATCAAGGTTCACACTGAGGTGAACTTTCCAGAATTCTCACAGGAAAGTGTAACCTGTAGGAGACAGTACACCCAAGGAGTTAAGAGCTCAGGTTGTGAACTTAGACTTTTTGTGTTCATAGACTCACTTGCTGTGAGACTTCTTCCTAGAGAATTACTTAGCCCCTCTAAGCCTCAGTTTCCTCATCTATAAAGTGGGGGTAACGATAGGAGCCATGCAAGAGGTTGTTGTGAAGATTAAACAAGATAATTTATATAAGACACTCCACAAATTTTCACCATTGTTCATGTATCCAACAACTTAGGGGCTGGGGATGCAAGCAGTGACAAGAGTCGGGGGGTCTCTGTCACCCAGGCTGGAGTACAGTGGCACAATCATGGCTCACCACAGCCTCAACCTCCTGGGCTCAGGTGATCCTTCCACCTCAGCCTCCCAAGTAGCTGAGACTACAGGTACATGCCACTATGCTCGGCTAATTTTTTGATTTTGTGTAGAGATGAGGGCTCACTTTATTGCCCAGGCTGGTCTCAAACTCTTGGATTCAAGCAATCCTTCTACCTTGACCTCCCAAAGTGCTGAGATTACAGGTGTGAGCCACCACGCCCAGCCACATCCCTATTCTTATGAAATGTGGGCGAGAGAGGAACATGGAAACCAAGCAAAAAACCCAGCAACAAACTGAAACAGCATACTATGGCCCAGGGAATGGGGCAGTGTGTACAAGGAAGCAATGGTGTGGGGAGCTGAGTGCAGGCCTCTTTGAGGAAGGGGAGATTGGGGAGCAGCCAGGCATGCCAAGATCTGGGGGGAGGGAGCTCCAGCAAGTGCAGCAAAGAGCAGCTGGGGAACTAGCCAGGAAGCCAGGGGACTGAAGTGTGGGTGAGAGGTCCCTGGTGGGGACCTTGCATGCCCTGCCCCACTGCTCCTCATTGCAGGTAGACATCGAGATCAACGGGGAGCCAGTGGATTTGCACATGAAGCTGGGGGACAGTGGGGAGGCCTTCTTTGTACAGGAGCTGGAAAGCGATGAGGTAAGCGCTGTCCTCCTTGCCAGTACTTCCCTGGTGCCTACTCTGTGGTGGGGTTGGGGTGGGATGAGGCGGGGTTGTGGAGGGGATGGGGAGGGTTGGGTTTGTCATTGTTCTGCCTTCCATCAGAGGTCTGATGCAGAGGGGCCAGTTGGGGCTGGCCTCTGGCACACAGAGCCCAGAGGAAGGGACTGGGACACAGGCTGACTCTACTTCCTGGGTTGTTGGGGATGAGTTCTCAGAAAAGGGGATACCTGAGCTAGGCCCCTGTGGGATGAAAAGATGTTCTTTCCCAGCCAGTCTGGAGAGGAGAGAGGTAGTAAAGAAGCTGGGGACTGGCAAATATAAAGTCTGGCTTGTCCTGGGTCTGATGCTGGCTTTGTGCATCTGGAACCCAGAAGTGTCAGAGTTGGGGGGTGACGAGAGGGGTGTTTGCAAAAGGGAGGCGGGGCCCAGCACAAGTCAGCAGAGGAGCTGAAACTTTGAACTTGATGAACTTTAACTGAGCCCTACTGTATGCTAGACAGCATGTAGTAGACAGACAAGAGGTGACTCCTGCCTTCAAAGAAAGTTCCAGACTGGTCTGAGAGGCAGACACATAGACAATGGATGCTGGAATTTGGTCATTGCAGTGTGGGGCGGTGGGAGGGAGGAATGCTGAAACTGGAGGGAAGAATAGTCAAGGCACCTTCCTGGAGGAGGTGATGTCTGGGAGTCTTAAAGGAGAAGTAGGTGTCATCTGTATTAGACATGGGTGGAGGAGATGGGAAGTGATGCCAAGCTCTGCCTGGCCTGCTGGGGTGGTGGGTACCTGGGATTGGGGCTGTTCTGTCTCCGTTAGGGAACTCTGGGCCTAGCAGCTGCTGCAGGGCCACACTGCTGCTACCTCTGCCTAGCCTCCACCTATTTTCCTGATTCCAAGTGAGCTCACTCCAGGTCTGGGACTCAGGATGACCATGTGAGGGCCCCAGGCTCAGCCCTCCAGTTCTGCTCCTCATTTGCTCTGCAGGAACCTGTGCCTCCCCGCCTCTGCACCTCACCCATCCCTTGGGGGGGTCTGTCTGGCTTCCCCTCGGACTCCCAGCTGGGCACAGCCAGCGAGCCTGAGGGCCTCGTCATGGCAAGCACAGCCTCCACGGGGCGGAGGAAGCGGCGTCGTAGGAGGAAACCCAAGCGGAAGGAAGATGCCCTGGCAACTGATTCTAGTTCAGAGGAACTGGAGACAGGTGCTGAGAGTGAGCTGTCTCTACTGGAAAAGCTGAAGCCAGAGTCCCCAGGGTGTGTAGAGACCAGGTAGAGGCTGAGGTTATGGGGAGCCCAACCTGGGGTTCAAGTGCTGTTTCCTCTGCTGGTGCTATGTGACTCTGGGCAAGGGCCTTGATCTCTCTGAGCTTTAATTGCTTCACCTTCCCAAGCCCCGACATCCAGTCTCCCATGATCTACCTGGGGTGTCCTACCCTGTCAGTGACCATGTCCCTGTGCCCCTTCAGCAGTGTCCAGTTGGAAGAGGAGTCCTCTCTGCAGCCCAAAGACATCTACCCATACTCCGATGGCGAGTGGTCCCCCCAGGCCAGGTGAGAGTCTAGGTGGGCTGCAGGCTGGGACTTCAGATGAAGGTTGCAAAGTGGCTTCAGTTTTCATTGTTTTGATGACTAATGACAGAGAACACATTTAAGGTGTTTACCAGTCATTTGTATTTCTCCTTTGTAAAGTATTCCAATCTTTTGCCCATTTTTTTTGTGGTAAAATATACATAACATAAATTTACCATTTTAATGATTCCAAAGTGTATAAAGTTCAGTGGCATTAAATACATTCATGATGTTGAATGACGACTACCAGTATCTGGTTCCAGAACTTTTTTTTTTTTTTTTTGAGTTGGAGTCTCACTCTGTCGCCCAGGCT